ACATAATATCAGTTGGATTACTAGGGAATTTCATCTCAATGGTCATTTTATTCCTATTCTTCCAAATAGGCTAGCCCAAGCGAGGCTTGCAAATCACCGTATTATAGATTGGAATTGGAGGAATCCTGTGGCACATCACCTAATTACGTACGACTGCAACACTATCCATTAACGGCAAAAATTTAACTACAGGAACATGAGCATCAAAACAAAGAGCGTTCATCATTCAAGCGTTGCAAAGTTTCAAACTTTTCAGCTTGATAGCATATATAAGAATAATGTTACTCCAATGCAACCAAATACATGATGGTCGGCTAACCAAAATTGCGTACAAATGGCGATGGACCTAATCGCTACCGCTAGAGGCAGCCTTGTTGCGCGCTCTTGCTGCATAGTTGCTCTGCATCAGATCTTGTTGATCTTGGCTGCCACGACGAGCGGGTTGTTCTTGGCGATCTTCTCCCGTCCCGCCGTCTTGAAGTCGAAGCTGCACGCGTGCTTCTCCGCGTGCCGGTGCAGCGAGCAGAACGTGGCACCGCAGCGGCAGGGGAACCCCAGCAGCCCCACCTTCTTGCGGCACGACGCGCACCTGTTGGGCGCCGCCGCCTTCACCGCCGGCGGCGCCTCCACCGCTGGTGCAGCACTGGAACTGAAAGTTGCAGCAGAGATCTGGGCCGCCGCCGGCTGCTCGGCAGCGAGGACGATCTTGTCCGCCGCCGGCGCCGCGGCAGGGGCGGAGTGAACGTTTTTGAGGAAGTCCCTGTAGCAGAGGGTGCAGAGGTTGTTGGTCTCCGCGTACCCGAAGTAACCGCACGCGTTCGCGCACTCGATGAGGCCGCGGCGGGCGGACCCGGGCGCTTCCTGCTTCTGCGTCTCCAAGGGGCGGCCACTGTTCTTCTTCTTCCCTGTCGGTGCTTGAGCAACTGGCGTGGCCGTGGCCACTGCAGCGGCAACGGCAGCGGTGGCGTCAGGATCTTGATGACCATCAGCCAGCTGATCGGGCTTGTGAGAAGCAGCCTTAGTGTTGGTGGCCTCGATCTTCTTCTCGTCGACAAGAGCGGCGGCGTCGGCGGTCTTGATCAGGTGCTCCTTGTAGCACTTGGAACAGAAGTTGTTGGTCGCCGCGCTCCCGAAGAACCCGCAGCTGTTGGCGCACATCGGCGCCGCTGCAACGCCGCCGGAGACGATCTCCTGCCTCTCCGCCATCGATCGGATCCTCTTGCTCGGTCCCGCTTGAGCACGCATGTGAAAGGTGAAACCTCCTAGATGGCTTCAAGTTCGTGCGCGACTTGTTTCATGAACGAGCGAGAGTTCGTGAATGTGCGGAGCGTGCCCCTCGGCTCTCCTCTCTTCTCTTATATAGTACGGGTACAGGACCGAGAAGGCCAAGCGCGAACCGATTCCGGTTCGTGTTTTAGGCCGGGGTCGGAAATCGGGTCCGTGCGATGCAGGGTAGCGTGGACTTGCAGTTCCGACTTCAACTCGTGTCATGGATTCTGGAACCGACTTCCGGCGCGGGGCTCTCGCTGGCGCTGGCGCCGCTAATGGAGTTTGCCCGGCGGCGTGTGCCGCGTGAGAGCTGGGCGGCAACCGAGGTGCGGTTCATGGCCACAGCCTGGCTCTGTGGCTGCTGGATTCCCCAGTGGCCGAGTCCGTCCATGCAGTCTTCGCAGGGAAGTGCTTCGGGGGTCGGGGTTCCAATTTCAGGACGAATGTGCCACTTGTTTGAGCTCATTTTGATTGCTTGCTCTAGAAATGTGTGGATCTGGAGTTATTTTGTATTTGACGTGAAGCAGGATGTACATGTTCTGAAATTGGAGCTTACACTTGAGTACAACTGGATGGAGTTTTGTTGAATTTGGGCAGTTTAGTCTGAAACTAAATAAACTAAAGCTTATCGCACTGGATTTTAAACTAAGCTCAACTTAGCACATACATACTGCATTATGCTTGCCCTAACTTATATACGTATACGTACGTAGTACGTACTTCTATTACAAGGTTATTACAAAAGGAAAAAAAGAAGAAGCAAAACCCCAAACACGAGGCAAGGTAGAATAACAAATAGGCCCATGTGGCACTTGTGAGCGGGCCTCTGGAATCAAACCCGCCCACGGACTCCTCCGCTCGGGGCCGTGCGTTGCGTTGGGATGCGATGCGAGAGGGCGCGGCGCAGATCTGGAGCAGTAGGGCCAACGTTGTTTAGCACCACCCTGGAAGCGCAGGAAAGCAAACACTAGCTTATAGTCGCGAGCGCAACAGCCGTTTTGTCTCTTCGGAGACATCTGATAAAATTGGAACGATACAGAGAAGATTAGCATGGCCCCTGTGCAAGGATGACACGCATAAATCGAGAAATGGTCCAAATTTTTTTAAGATTTTACGCGCCGGTCCCTGCCATCTTACAGATAGGTCCTCCTGGCCCTTGGATATGTTATAAACAGGTCCTTGGAGCTTGCGCGCCGGTCCCTGCGTGCCTACAGACTGATCCTTGGACATGTTACATACAGGTCCTTCGGACTTGCAGGCTTTTATAATGCACTTCTTCCAGTTCCAAGGTTTTGACTTTGTACTGTTTAAATTTTGTAAAGGTCTTTACAGTTTAGTCCTGCTGCTTCTGGGTTTATATAAACATTTCCTCTTCATGATTTTTACGAATAGGTTCTAGATAAACAGTGTGCAATGCGAATACGCAGTATCATAGAGTTAGGTCTGAACTATAGTTGTGTTTTTTAAACAATAAATAATTAAAAATATATAGTTGTGTTTATGTTTTTTTTATACACGTCGGTCCTCTTGGTGATTTCATGCTCTGAGGTTTGTGTTTCAATCGTTTTTCATTGATGGTTAAACCGGATTCAATCAAAACGTGCATGAGCAGGATCCTCTTACTGTTTTGCTATACACTTGTTACCGGTGAATCTGTGCCTGGAGTTCTCTCATGCCCTTAACTTTAGTGATGTTTCATATAACCTGTACAGCCACAGATTTTTGCATCTTGGTCTGGTGAGTTGTGCGCGTAAATATTAGTTGTTCACGCATACATTATCCTTTGTCCACGTTCTCTTAAATTGTCTCTCACAATAAAAGTATGTTGCCACACCTGCACCTTAGAGAGCAAATTGGGCTGTTCGGCTGGTATTAAAGCCGGCTGATAAGCCGGCTGAAGCTGATTTGTTGTGAGAGAAAAATACTGTAGATTCTAGCTGATAAGTTCAAGCGAACATGCGAAGTCTAATAATAAATCCAAGTGTTTAGCTACTAGCTAAGTTATAAAAGACAACATATACAATAGTAGTCTCTTATTTATCTATGAGCAACCTTTTTATTTTTTTTATTCGTGTTTCATCTTTTCTTTCATGATCCTTCTCATTAATTAAAGTATGGGCCCACCACTGCATATGTTTCTATCTCTAACTTGTTGCTTGAACAAGGGCTAAATTCTTCTCTCTCTCATCTCTTCTCTCCTCCACATCAGCATTTGCTTGGCTATAAGCCAATTATGGTACTTGTTTTTAGCCATGATCCACTTTATGGTTAATTAATTACCCCTTTGCTATTATTTTGTACTATGTGCTGACTGTTCCCTCAAATTCTGTGTGCACAATGTAGCTTATGAATCAGTCCATGACTTGTGTTATGTGATTATCACACCAAATTAATTCCATTGAATTCTTTATGAAATATATTTTAGCACTGTACTTATTTGAACTTGCAGAGGAGGTGATAGAAACATGACCACAAGTAGAGAAGTTTGACTTAATACTATTCCAGACGTTTTTCCACAAAACTGCAATTACATTAACCATTTGAGAGCACACACATCATTTTATCATATGGACCGGTGGAGGGCTGATGCATCTGATTGGTCACCGAGCAATGCAAACCAGTTTACACGTTCAGAAACCTCGTTTCCATTAGGAACCCGCTGGAGACAAGGTTGGATACAAAGGTGGAGACATACTGCATTATGCTTGCCCTAACTTGCTATTACAAAAGGAAGAAAAAAAAAGAAAACCCCAAACACGAGGCAAGGCAGGACAACAAAGAGGCCCATGTGGCACTTGTGAGCGGGCCGCTGGAATCAAACCAGCCCACGGATGCCTCCGCTCGGGGCCGTGCGTTGCGTTGCGATGCGATGCGAGAGGGCGCGGCGCGGATCCGGAGCAGTAGGGCCAACGTTTCTTTAGCACCACCTCGGAAGCGCAGCAACGCAAACACCAGCTTATAGTCGCGAACGAACCAGCCGCGTTGAAGAATAGCATGGCTCCTACGCAAGTTTGACACGCACAAATCGAGAAATAGTCCAATTTTTTTTGAGGTTTTGCGCACCGGTCCCTGCCATCTTACAGATAGGTTCTCACTGCTCCTGGTCCTTGAATATGTTACAAACAGGTCTTTTGAGCTTGCACGCCGGTCCCTGCCAGATTACATATAGGTCCTCCTGGTCATTGGATATGTTACAAACAGGTCCTTATTAGGGATTGCGTGCTGATTTTGCGCGCCGGTCCTTGCCATCTTACAGATAGGTTCTCCTAGTCCTTGGATATGGTACAAACAGGTCCTTAGAGCTTGCGCGCTGGTGCATGTCAGCTTACAGATAGGTCCTCCTGGTCCTCGGATATGTTTATTAGGGCTTGCGTGACGGTCCCTGCCTGCCTACAGACAGGTCCTTGGATAAACAAACAGGTCCTCCGGACTTGCAGGCTTTTATAATGCACTTCTTCCAGTTCCAGGCTTACGTTTTTAGTTTGTACTGCTTCAACTTTCTAAAGGTCTTTACAGTTTGATCCTGGGTTTATATAAACATTCCCTCTTCATGCTTTTCACGAACAAGTTCTAGATAAACAGTGTGCAATGCGAGTACGCATTATCATAGAGTTAGGCCTGAACTATATATAGTTGCGTGTTTTTTTACGAACAAGTTCACGGGCGACAACGTGGAGCGCGCCTTCCTCACGCTCCTCGAGGAGGTCTTCGCCGTCGTGTCGCGCAGGGCGATGGAGCTCGACGAGGCACGCCGGATGCGCGGCGACCAGCAGGGCAATGGCAATGGCGGAGGAGGCGGCGAGGTGCTGTCGCTCAAGGGGGCCGCGGTGGACGTGGGCTCTATCATGGAGACCAGCGCCATGAAGAGGAGCTCGCAGTGCGCTTGCTCATGATGCACGGCGTGGCGTCTTCAGTGCACATGTAGGAGTCATTTAAAAATATACCTTTTCTAAGAACTTCATCACATTTACAAAATGCAGATTATTACACTCTTCATGGTTTATTAGGCATGTTACCATGTAAAGCTTTGTACGTGTATCTGATCCATCTGTCATTCATCATTTTTTCCCCCATTTTTTGATGCAAAGAATAGGCGGATTTGTGTCATCAAACTCGTTTTTCACAAGGATGTTTGCCCTTCCAACCCTCTGAACAGATCCAAGGAACACCATGATCCATGTTCTCCGTACCACACACATGGCATCAGAAACAGAAATTGTTACAACAATGGACCAGATCTTATTAGCAGGTCACCTTGATCTTGAAAGAAGATTTCAACAAACTAGCAAAACATCATTGGAGGGACAAAAAAAAAACAAAACAAAGAAAATCTCTTTCAGCAGCTCTATCACTTTTTTTTTTTTGAAATGAATGGCAGGAGCTCTGCCTCTCCATTAAAGTAGAATAAAAGGGACAGCAGCTCTATCACTAGAAGGAAATAGTTTAAGCTCGAGATCCAAACGAAACTATGCTTCTGCTCACTTTATTGGTCAAAGCTAGTAGTCATCCAATTGTCATACTCAAAAGTATCAAACACTGACAGTTCGGGCAACAAAGGCGCCACGAGAAATCTAGGACATCGTCACATTGGCAGGAGGAACACGAGACATCATCACATTGGCAGGAGAAATCTCCTCGCAACTCCAGTCTACAGCATGTGAACACTATGTAGTAACAAGTCTCTCTTCTCATTCTTCTCCTTCAACAGCTGGTAGCCCTTCTTTGAACCATGCATAAAGCCCTCCTTCCAGATGGTACACATTGCTGTAGCCATTCAGGACCAACAGGTATGCAGCTATCAGGGACCTGCCAAAATCAACCGGAACAGAGGATAAGTTCCAACGCTGATATTTGCCTCGAGAAAATAGCATAATATTTCGAACAAGTCACTTTCTGCAGAAAAAAGATGGGTGGTAAAATAAATGTGTGTAACATGGTTGTAGACATACTAGGTCTTGCTGGAAAGTAAATTCAACAGCTTCCGAATCAGTATTCTCGAATAAGTTGTGCATGCTGCTTTTCTTTCCTCAAGGATTAAGTTACCCAACATCCTTCTAGAATTTTTTGTGATTTAGTTCAAATTTAAGAAAATACTAAAGAATGTTTATATTTATACTAATCTGCTAAATCCAAACATGTGAAGAAAACGTGGTTTACCTTTGCAGTCACTGAAAATTCTAATGCTATAAGCCCAGCAGCAGAAAGCACCATGTAATAAACTACTCTCTTCATTTTTAGATATATGACGTTTAGTACAAGCTAATTAGTTAAAAAAGCTGAACTACTCCGGTACTCCCTGCATTTGAAATTAGTAGGCATCAAATTTGAAATACCAATCTATTGACATACCAATCTATTGACATCAAATTTGTATTGCAAAAATCATGATTTGAAAAATAATTACTTATGATTACGAAATTGTATCACACAAATGACATATTAATAGAGTAACTGTTGGCCCAAATCTTGTCCCAATGAAACGGAATACACCTACAAAATTTTAGAGTTTTACACCTACAAATTTCAAAGGGTATAATAATAACTAATAAACTTGTCCTAAATGTTTTATTTATAAACAGCTTATATTATAAACGGAGGCAATACCATAATTAAGAAAAGAGACAAATGTGGCCTACACCCTACGACACTTGCCCATTCAACTATGCATCTCATATGCAACATGGTGGAGCTTGTGGTCACAGGAGCTTTAAGTAGCACTGTTCAGATCATGGGTTCGACTCCCCATGGGAGCAAATTTAAACAGACCTGGGTTAAAAGAACACCACTTATTGGCTGTTTTCTTGACTATACGTGTAACCATCCGAGTCGCTTTTAGCGAGATGCTTGTGGCCCTAGGCATGTGTCCTAGGCGCTCAATGGCACGTTCAGGGTAGCCGGCCTTCGGGGTGTTTCTCGGCCTGCGCACGACAATGCCGCGGAGGCAGTCTTTCCCCGGGAGATTGATTTTTTTTAATGCTGGCTCTAAGGAGATGCACAAAGGCCTTAACTCTCTAATCGTGTCCCTATTAATCATTTCAGATCCCGAAGTTCAACACAATAGGACCAGAATCCTATGATGTTATCCCATGCTAATGTATCCAAAGTGATGGTTTGCTTTGAGAACTCTAATTTCTTCAAAGTAACGGCGCTGGAGGCATGACCCAGCCAATTAAGGCCAGGAGCGCATCACGGGCAGAAGGGCCGAGTAGGTCGGTTCTCGCCATAAGTTGGACCGGCCAACCTGGCCCAAGGTAACCGCAACAACTTAAATATATGCTATTGGAGCTGGAATTACCATGGGTATTGGCACCAGACTTGCCATTGTTTCCTGGGAGATTTAGAACATAGGAATGCCCTTGTCTTGAAGGGGCCAGGCCAAACATTCAGGCTCTCTTCACAGTGGCTAATGAAAGCAGCTTGTGGTGTTTTGCTGGAGGCCTGGTGCCTCTACCCTCCATGAGCTCCTCATTATGTCGCTAGCCTAACCCTTGGGGATGGTCGAAGGTGGACAGGTTGTGGTCGTGTTGTGTACCTTAGTTGACACGTCTGTTTGTAGTCAAGTGTGTAAGGTGTGTTTGGGAGGGGCTTTCTTTAGCTCTCCCATTTCCTTGCGCACTTTTTGTTTTTTCCCTTCTTAATGAAATGATACGCAACTCTCTTGTATTGTTCGAAAAAAAAATCATCCATCAAGAGCATTCTCCAATAGTTTCTTAATTTCATTATCTAAGTAACTCGATTGGTTATGGCTGCACCTAGGGTACTGCCTTATGGTTACGGTGGTGGTCGGCCTGTGTGAGCGGTGCGGTCCTACCAGGGGTGGTGGCCGCCAGCCTTGGTTACGGTGCCATGCTATAGGGCCTGCACTATCAGGGTTTGAGAGGTTTTCTGATCGGTTGAAAGCAAAGGTTTCTTCTTCCAAGAAATACCATGGGGGCAGTCTTTCCCCCACTGCCAAACATATGTGCACCTGTCTCCAGGAGAACCATCATTTTTATTGAAAGGATATACAGATACTGAGAATGATCGACTACGCATGCTATTGTCAAGCTTGCAGTGTGAATTACAGAACATAAACATACCGAGATTGCTTCCCATCAGGGAAATTTTGCGTTGGCTTCAGTGTCCCTCCTGTAGAACATGCCACAATTATCTTCGCATTTTTCCCAACCTTCGCATCAACACCTGCACAAAGGTAACGTGCGCTTTTCTGGTTACTGTATCATTGATGAGTAATCAAACAGCAGCAACAATGTTTGCTACCATACTCTGTATGAACTCAGGATTCTCTTCTGTTCCAGCAAATATGCCAAAAAACGCAAATGCCGCACGCCTTGCAATATCCCATGCTGTCCATTCCTTGATTAATCTGTATATTTGTACATTGATGGCACCAGGTGGATGAGCCTACATATGGATAAAAATCCATAAAAGTTATACAACTGCCACAGAAAAATAAATCTTGGAGTAGGGTAATGAAACCCACGACATGAAGCAAACAACAGATAGTATACAGCAAGAAGTGTCAAGTTGTTGCTTTTGTGGGGTAATTGAAACAAATGGTCATATCTTTTTTCAATGCCACATTGCTCGAGCTATCTGGTTCTCTTTTAAAGAAGCACTAGGTTGGGATAGAACTCCACAGAGCATGCAAGATGTTTTTTATTATTGGATTCCTATTGGGGGGAGAGATTACCATATCAAGTTGTTTATCTTCGTGATAGTCCTTTGGGGTTTGTGGAATATTAGAAATAAAATGGGGATAGAGAAAAAGTTTCAAGGTCTTCTAATGAGGTTTTCTATAAAATGTTCTCTTTTACTCAGAAATGGCGTATCCTTTTGAAGGCAGGCGATGCTAGGTTCTTGGATGACAGGCTTGGAAGAATGAAGTCCTGGTTGACGGTTTTCTGGAAGCGCACAGCTGACATGGAGATTGAAGGAGTTCTTTGAGGTGTTTTGGAGTTCTCTGGAGTGAGGTCTAGTTAGTGTTTTAGTTTCTTCCTGTGCAAGCCTCTTTGCTCCTGTGAGGGCTGTGATGTTCCAGTTTGGGTGGTCTTTGGTTCAAACCTGGTTGCTGGTGTTTCCAGTGGTTCCTTTGGTCTCTTTCTTTTCTTTTCTTTTCTTTTCTTTTCTTTTCTTTTGCTGTAAAGACTGGTTGCTTTCTATAAAAGCATGGTTTTCCTCCGTCAAAAAAAGAAGTGTTAAGTTGGCAGAAAATATATTCAATTAGAAGTTTAGAACTGTCCAGCATGTGATCTCTATTGCAAAAAATTCCTAACAATGGTACTTTTACCTAAGAAATGGCAAAATACATATTGATATGTTATTAACCTAAACCTGAGACCTAAAACTGTGGCATAAAAATATAGAGTAACTATAAACAGCATAAAAATATAGACCTCTTTAAACTCTGCTTCAGGCCTGACATCAAGAATTACAAAGTTGTTTTCCTTTTGAAGGCGCAGTGCTTCCTTCACATCAACACTGCGTACCTGCAAAACAAACAGCAGCAAAGCCTCTGTTATAAATGAAATATGCAAAGCATGGTAGGCTCACCATAAGCCAACAGTGAATTAATAGAACTAAGATATGTTCCTCTAAATTACAAAGAAGGCCTATATCACATAGAATATTTTTTTTCAACCTGCACACATATAGTTCAAACCCAGTTCATCGTAGAACTAAAGATTAAGTATTTCATAAAAAACTTCCAAAGATATTTACAAAGGAAACACATGGTAGAGTGATGCAAGTTACCCGCTTTTCCGCTAGCAGTTGCCGCTTAACTTTCCATTCTTCTTCAGCTGTAAGGAAAAACAAACAACAATATCAGAATAAACTAACAGTTGCGTAGCAACCAAAACAATTGGAGAGCATAATCAAAGTACCAGGAGTCTTTGCAGGTTTAGTAGCAGCACAACTTATACGTATCGAGCTCACAGCACGCATCCGATGGAGTTTCATAGCCTCTATGGGACGCCAGGAATGGCCAGATGTGAAGTCTGAACAGGATGATATCCTTGATGAGCAAGCAAGGTTGCTGTTCATTACAGAATTAGCTGCAAGCATCGTGATCATGAGAGAGGAAGAGCAAAAACTATGGACTTGAGAGAATTAGAAGACAGCTTAGCTTCTCCTAAGGCTGCATACTGTTACTGGAAGGAGATCTTTTTAGAAGCAGAAATGTCCAAAGGACCCATTGGCTTTGGATTGGATGTAGATGCATATCTGAACCTGTGGTGGAGGTTGAGCAAGTGCTGAGATGGACAATCTGGATTCTGGGCGTGTAGCTTGACCTGACCCCACCACACCAACAACCTGGAAAATTACCTATGTGTTTCCCATCCCATGATATAATTTCAAACGTTTGGCCAAAACGATCAAGACTTCTCCAGACGTTAAAAAGAACTGGGGGAGGAAAAAAAAAGCACTTTATTGGTAGCCACCAGTTCCGAGTTTCATCCTACAAATGGGGATGATGCCCAAACAGATTGTTCACCTGAAAATCAAATGATGAACTAAACAAGAGTACAGCTAAAGCCAGAGATTCTTGGGCTCCTTAAGATCGCTAAGACCCAGCTCAGTTTTGTTCTACACTGCTCACTCACTCACTCACTCCAGTACCCATCATTTTCCTTCTCATCCTTCCCCTCCTCCTCATCATCACCCTCCTCGCCGATCTCCATCACTGCCTCCTGGAACCGCTTGACATCATTCAATGCCGCCTTCTGGAACATCGCAAAATCCACTGCGCCAGCCACCATATGGTAACCCCTCAACTTGAGCTGCTCCGGCGGATCATTCTGCATTGCAAACCCGCCCAAGTAAGCAGCATTGCCATCCGAGGCCGCTGCCACCTTCTTCCTGGCCTCCAGCACCTTCCTCTCGGCCTCCCTCAGCACCGCCCGGACCTTCCTGTTCCCGGGGTCCCACAGGTATCCCATGCTAGCCGACAGGTCGAGCGGGCCCATCTGCACGACGTCCACGCCGTCGACGGCGGCGATGGCGTCGATCTCCGCGATCCCGGTGGCGGTCTCGACCTGGCAGATGACGAGCGTATCGTCCTCGCAGCGGGAGAGGTAGGAATCGTCGAAGCCGTAGGCGGAGGCGCGGATGATGGGGTGCGCGGCGCCGCGGACCCCGCGCGGCGGGTAGCGGCAGTGTGAAACCGCCTCGGCGGCGGCCGCGGGGGACTCGATGGCGGGGAGCATGAGGCCCGCGGGGCCGAGGTCCAGCGCCTTCTTGGCCCAGACGGCGCTGGTCTCCGGGAGGCGCAGCACAGCGGGGGTGCGCGCGGCGTCGAGCGCGCGGAGGCAGGCGAGCGCCTCGGGGATCCCGCCCGGCCCGTGCTCCATGTCAACGACGACATAGTCGTAGCCGGCGAGGGCGGCGAGCTCGGCGAGGGTCGGGGAGAAGGAGAGGAGGAACAGACCGTAGAGGGTGTCCCCGGCGGCGAGGCGGGACTTGAGGGAGGGCGCGGAAGAGAGGAGGTCGGATGCCGCGGCGGAGACCCCGAGGGAGGAGCGCCGCCCACGGCAGGGAAGCGGGTTCGTGATGCGGTGGGAGTGGAGATGCGAGGGGTTTGGGTGAGTTTTGGGTCTGGCCTTGGGCGCGACGAGGAGGTGGGAGAGGGAGGAGGCGGTGGCGGCCATGGCGAGCGAAGCCGGTGGGCGGAGGTGGCGAGGTGGAGCTTGGTGGTGGCGTTGGTTTGATTCTGGGATCTGCGACTGCCCAAGCCGAATGGCGAGTCCGGTGGGCGGCGGCTGTGTGAGTGATATGGGCCGTGTTTGGCTCGACTCTCCGGGGCTGCGGCTCCTCCGTGCAGCGACTGTACAACCTATATATCACTATAGTGGTTAAAAAAAATACCTCCAGCTCCTATGCAAATGAACGTGGACTGAGAAGAAACTGCCGGAGCTACGTTTATAGTGCTCCGTCGGCTCCGCCACGGTACCCGCACAGTGACAGAGCCGGAGCCGGCGCGAGCTCCACCAAACGCGCCCATAAATGTCCATGCAGCACGAAGGCACGGCACGAAGCCCGCTTTTTTTAGTCCGACATGGGCACGGCCCCGCCTGCGTCGGTTGGCCCGACAGCGGCCCGGCCTCCCTCCTCCCCTCCTTGTGGCCCAACGCGGCCCAGTGCGGCCCACCGTCCCCGCCTCCCCCCGTCATATAAGAGCGCACGCCGCAGCGCGGCGGCTCTCTGCCTCTCCCTCACACCCGAACCCTAGCTCCCATCCGCTCCCTCTCTCGCTCTCTAACGAGGCGCGTCGGCCGAGCCCGAGCCTCCCGCGACCCCCGCCCCCACCGTTCCCGCTCCCCCCGCCTCCGCCCCGTCGTCCCTTTCTCTCCCTCTCTCCCGACGTGGCGGCGTGCTGGTCCCCTCCTCCTCCGCATCCCTCGCGCACGGTCCTGGATCTGGGCCTCGGACGCGCTGCCGGTGCCGCGCGGGACTCCCCTCCCTCCCCTCGGCCCTTGCGCACGGGCGCCGATGACACGCCCCCACGCGGACGCCCCCTCCCCGCCTCCACTCCAGCGCCCCGTGACGGCGGGGGGTTCTGCGGGTTGCAGAGACCCGGCAGGTGCGTTCAGGCGGAGATCCGGAGTACCACGCTCCTAACTCCCTTCCCCTCCCACCTCTGCGCCACGGACGCCGACGCCCCCCTCTGTCTCCTTGCCGGTGTCAAGGGCCCCAAGGGCAAGGTCGCCGGCGGCCACTGCATCTCTGGTTGCTCGCGCTTCCTCCCCTTCCCCCTCTCTCTGGCTGCTCGCGCTTCATCGTGGGCCCGGGCTAGCCCGGCACGCTGGACTGGTCGTGCTTCTCGGGCCGGCCGGCCCAATAAACGGCCTAGCAGGCCATGCCTGGGCTGGATGTCCGGCGCAGTGCCCGCCTCGGCACGGCCCGGTAGGCACGACGTGCCGTGCCGGCCCGAACCCCATCGGGCCGTGCCTGGCACGGGCCGGCCCGTTGGACATCTTTAGTGAGTGACTGTGTGTCACCTGTCACGTGCTGCGGTGCAAGAGACTGCCGCTCCGGCTTGCTAGCGCGTCGTGTCGTGCGCTTGCTGACGTTGAATTTACCGTGGCATAGCTCTTTCCCGTGTCTCCTCTGGAACGTGGGCACGCTACTCAAGAGGCTCCCCGGGCTGCCGGGCCCCCAGCCCAGCCCCTTCTCCCACGGGCACGGGTCACCGACTTCTCTCTTTCTCCACACGTGCGTCGTGCCCAGCTCATGCCCGCCCGCCTCCCTCCCGTTCTCTCCAGCGCCGCCTCCTCCTTTGCGCGTTCGAAGGAACACCGCCAGGCGATCCGCTCTCCCCCGCGCCTCATCCGGCCGTTTCTGGCGGCTCTTGGGCCTCGCTCGCCCTCCCTGACGGCCCCGAGCTCGCCCTCTATCTCTGCCCAAGCTCGCGCTGTCTAGGCGCCTCGAGCTCGTCGTCCTCGCTTCCTGGGGCGGATTTGGGCCCCGGGCTGCCAGGGCGGCAGCCCAGGGCGAGGCCCAAAAACTCTGGGAATAAGTTTCTTAAAAACCTTGTAATAAGGCCAGCTAGCCCAATAGCCCACCCCGACGGGAGGAAAGCCCAGCAGCCTCCAATCCTAGCCCTGGCCGCAAGCGCAACCCCGACTCGGCTCTCTGCTCTCGGCCTCGACGCGGAGACTGAGAGGAGACCGGGACGGCCGACGGCGATCGCTCCACCTCCGGCCTCCGCGCCCTCCTGGCCTCCTGTCCGGCTTCCGGCTCCCCGCCCCCCCCCCCACTCTGCAGCAGCCGGCAGGCTGTCCCGTAGCGGCAGGTCGCTGCCTCACAGGTGACTACGGTGAGATCCATAACTCCAGTCTGGTCCATACTCCCTACTAGTACTCGCTACTCCACTGCAACTCCGTAGCATGGATTTCTATTATTAAATCTTACTTTGCAATTGCAACATTTCATATCTTAGGGTAGAGAAGTTAGAACACTAGAATGGAAATCCATTTCATATCTTACTTTGCAGTTGCAACATTTGAAGGCTTAAGAAACTCTAAGATGAATTTGCCACGTGAGGGTTTGCCTTCATAAAAAAGGTGCGTGTTCTATACTTGTATTAGTCCATTTCAATACATACTGTTATCTTGCTTTTTGAAGAACACGCTTTTTTTAAAAAAAATGTAGTATTGAGGATGTCGGTACAAGTCGTACGAAATCATGAAGACATATATGGTTTTTTTTCATCTAAGGCTCTTCATTTGGCAGTTTTCTAGCCCCAATGTTCTACGTATTGTTTGAGCTCTTTGAATCAATATCGTTACTTGTCTTCTTTGAAACTATGTTATATCTAAGAGTCTATGACTATTAAGATTTTTAGCCTTATATTAGTTAGCCCGGGGTGCAGCCCGTTTTTGGATCGGCCACGGCTTCCGTGGTCACCACTGGGAAGTATGAGGAGGAGGCCTGGGATCGCTGGCTTGCAGAATGCGGCGGCTACTCGCGTATGTGCAGTTCTTATGCTTGTTTTAAGTAAGAGATCTGTGCTCTTTTTCCCCCCTGTTTGGAAGATGAGATGAGAGTATTGCTGGGAACGTTCAGGACCAATTCCGGCTGGTCGGGGAGAATGTGGCCAAGGTGAGGACCGATGTCATGAAGGAGCAGCTTGCGACGTTCCGGTCACAACTCGAGGAATTTGCTCGCAAGCATAAGGTGATTCACTCTGCTGTATTTAGTTTAATGTCTAAGGAGAAAGAAAACCTAATGACAATTGTTATATGTCTAAAATTGCAAACTATCCGTTGGCTTCTTGAATGATGATACAGATTGGGATTAACCCATCTTTTATGTAATTATAAGTGTAAGATCAACGCTAAACCTCATGGCCTGCCTGGGATTGGGAGAATCCATGAGGTTTGTAAACTCTCTGTTTTAAACTCATCTGCTAAATGAATGAGCAGCTCTCCTGCCAATATTCCTTCAAAAAACATTATTTATCTGCTTCCTTAACTAGAAATGAAATGGTTGTACTTTAGAAAATATGTAGATTATGCAGCCAAGGTTCGGCTAGGCGGCGACTACTCGGCGACTATGCGCGCCTAGTCGCTGGGCGAAGCCCGTCGCCGCGACTAGGGGCATAGTCGAGCATCGCGGCGCTAGGCGGCGCGGAGGCCCGCGCGCGGCCACGAGACCCAGCCGCGGGAGGATTAGAAGGGATTCCCGCGCGGCCAGATCCCGCCGGTCCTGCTCCTCCCGCCGGTCCTGCTCCTCCTCTGCTCCTCCCCTGCTCGTCCCCTGCTCGTCCCCAACTCGCGCGCCGCCGGTCCTGCTTGTCGTCGACTCGCCGCCGCCGTCCTGCTCGTCCTCGACTGGAACCCCTCGCGCCGACGCCGCCAGGCCCGGAGCCGGAGCCACCGCCGCCGCCGCCTCGACCACCGCTTCCGACGCTTCCACCCCTGGCACCGCCGCCGCCTCCACCGGCGAGGCAGGAAGGGCCCTGGAAGTGCACGGCCGCGCAGAGCAGCAACGCTCATGGCACCCTCGTCCCGCGTCTCATGGTCATGGCCTCCCGCTCTCCTTCGCCTCCTCGGTGCGGTGCGGTGCGGTGGGTGTGCCTGCGCGCGCGCTGGCTGGAGTTGGAGCAAGTGGCGAGAGCGCGAGGAGGGCGAGAGGGAGAGGACGGGATGATGCAGAGCGCTCGGGGGGGCTCGCCTCGTGTGCTAGGCTGCCACTGCAAGATGGTGCTTTCGCCGCGTCTTATTGTACTAGCTGGCTAGCTGCACGACGCTGATATTTTCGTAGTGTTTTGATAAGTCATTTATATTTTTTTTTAATGAACAGCTAGCTGTCTATTGACTAATTTACTAACTAGTAGCTGTCAAAATGGGTTGCAGGAGCTAGGAACATGCAAAACTAAGCCAGCTAGGAATCAGATATGTCTACTGGCCCTCTTTTTATAGTTATATACATAATATATATATAATTTATGGCTATATTGCCAAAACGCCTAGGAAAACGCCTAGGAGCGCCTAGGACCGATTACTCCCGACTAGGCGCTAGGCAATGGGTCAGCGCCTAGATTCCGCCTAGCGCCTAGCTGAACTTTGTATGCAGCAACTGCTATTGTATTAAACATGGCCCTCTTAGATCTAATACCAATCAAGTGTTAACAGAAACTTAACTGATAACTGAAAAATGAAGCAATCAAATATGATAACCCGTAGATTTCAAGTGAGAGTTTTCTAATAAGTCATGGAGTAACTTATACATAATATCAATTCAGTCAACAATCCCTGAAGAAATAGTATTATCCTCCGACATGGCCTTATTAAGTCACCTCAAAGTTCAAATGGCAAAGTGCACTCAGATTCTCTCTGGTAATGTTACATGTTCATATATTGTGCTATTGCAGAGTGACATCCGTAAAAACCCGGTATTTAGACAGCAGTTTCATGAGATGTGTGCAAAAGTTGGAGTAGATCCATTGGCATCTAATAAAGGAGTCTGGGCAGAACTTCTAGGGATTGGTGACTTCTACTATGAACTTGGTTGGCATACTCACTTTAAGCTTTCTTGAGCGTTCTTCTGGTCATGGAAGTAAAATCTGGTATGCTTACCATTGATGCCTATTGTGGCAGGAGTTCAGATAGTTGACATATGCATTGCAACCAGATCGCATAATGGTGGCCTGATTGATTTATTGGATCTCCGCAAACTGCTTGGTCAGAAGAGAAAGGCTACCCTTGAATCATTATCTGAAGATGACTGTTTACGTGCTATAAGCAAGCTAAAAGTAAGACTATGAAGCTTCAATGATCCATTTATGATTTATCTTGGAACTTTGGAATTGCATGTAGATTGTTTCTATGAGTTCGTACTTCAATTAACAGATGTTAGTTCAGTACAAACGAATTTGATATACTCAGTAAGATATGTATCTCATCTGATCCTTTGTGGATTCACAGGTCCTTGGCAGTGGTTTTGAAGTAATTTCTGTTGGGAGGAGGAAGCTTGTGCGTTCAGTTCCTACCGAGTTAAATAAAGACCACAGTGGGATACTTGGGCTAGCTCAGGTTTGTGCTTGTAATATTTGATGTGAGTACATTATAGAAGCAATGCCAATTATCATGTTGTCAGACAAAGGCCCATCTATAGCAGCTGTATATATTAGTAAACAAGAGTAGGTTTGAAGCTTTAAATTTCTTATTAGGTTCCTCTCTGCTTATAACATCATTGCTATGTAGGCTGAGGGCTATGTCACGGTAGAACAAGTCGAAAGGGAATTTTCATGGTCTACTGGGCGTGCAATTGATGCCCTTGAAACTTTGCTGAAGGTAATACTGCTTCCTGAGTTTCCTTATGACAACAGCATCCTGTATGGATCTTTTCTGTGCTAAAGGAAAAAGATATCAGTTATTGTTAATACATGTTTCGTGGTGATGAATCCACCCATAGTCGATCTTTGCAATTTGTTGGAGTCATCCATGTAGATACATAATTGCATCCATGCATGCCTGTCGACATGGGCTTATGGAAATTATCTGATTTCAACCTTGCGGAAGTGTAACAACTCTTCATGACTGAGCAGGAGGGGCTTGCTATGATCGACGATGGGCATAGGGACGCCAAGCGAAGATATTGGTTCCCATGCGTCACTGTCAGCTCCGACACAGCAGCTGTTGAAGCCAAGTCATAACCCCCAATATGTCAATTCCACAATGTATCCATGTCTCCATGAGGTGGAACAACCAGTGGCACTGAAAAGTGAAGAATGATATATCCCCTAATTTTTGTTTTGTTTGCCTCTGGCACTTGCAACATTGTGTGTAAATGTTTGTATGTCCAATACACCTGTGTGTATGAATTCAGGTGTAACATCACACTTTGAAACATGAAAGGTTACAGGATTCTTATTTAAAATTCAGGTTTATTTTTATACAACATTTATTTATTTATTTGAACATGGAAGAGGATCTCCATTACTCATCTGATGCCAAATCATTGGCTACCAGAACATCAATACAATTTGGAGTACAATCCTTGATCGGATTAGTACCCGGACTCAAACTTGCCCCAAGACCAGCTAAGCAGCCTGTTCGCTTATTGGTTTTAGCCAGGGTTTATCAGTCAGTTAACAGTGTTTTTCTCTCACAACAAACCAGCATTAACCGGGCTTATCAGTTCAGAAACCAACCAGCGAACAGGCCGAAGCTATGAGCAACGAAATTACATGAACGAGGGATATGTTACATGACAGCTAGTGAAATATTTAGAGTTCAGATAATTCTGGCCTTCTGGAGTTTGTAGGCTGGCAGAATGTTTGTAACATACTAAAATTCTTGCAGTGAGATAAAAAGGCCATTAGTGGCACCCAAAATAGTAAGTGCAAGGTCAAGGCCCATAGGCCAATACTAGCCTGTGGAGGCCGTTCTAGTGCTGTCGACCCATGGGCCGTCGATTGCCCGCGGTTCGTTGAGTAGTCTTCACCATGGCGTTAAGGGAAAAAGACCACCATGGCGGGTTTTTTTTTCTCTCAAACGAACTGCGGAAAGGGGAAAAGGAAAGGGGAAAAAAAGGGGGAAAGACCGAAACAGGCGACGGAGAAGCGCCGGCGGCGGCACTCACCGTCGGCCGCCACGCCCAGCGCCTCGCCGACGTCCTCCTCCAATCCAGAAGCTATCTTTTTTAGCTAGAACAGTATTTTCTCACACACAGTGTTTTCTCTCACACACCACATCAGTCGGTGTTTCGGCTTTTTTCAGCGAAGGGAACCGGGCCATTGCACTCGCCTTCCCCTCCGCTGGACCACATCCCCGACATCACCACCCGCCTGACCTCCCTCGAGGACTTCTTCGCCCTGCGCGCCTCCTGCCGCGCTTACCGCGCCGTCCTCCCGCCGTCCCGCGGGGCCCTCGCCTGCCAGTCCCCGCTCCTCCTCGTCGCCCTTTTCCCCTCCTTCTCCGAGGCGTTATTCCACCTCTCGCTCCGCCGCCTCCCCTGGGGTCATCACCTGCCCCCCTCCCGCCGCACCCTCCACTACGCGCACGGCTACCTCGTCACCGCCACCACCGCGTCCTCCCACTACCCCCCGAGGCTCCTGCTCCTTCACCTCTTCTCCGGCGAGCAGCTCCGCCTCCCCAAGGTCCCCGCGCCGTTCACCCGCGTCATCGTCTCCGACGACCTGGCCACCGTCCTCTTCCTGCCCGGCAGGCCCAACGTCCAGCACTGCCACCCTGGGGACGCGCTCTGGCGCGTGGCCACCGCGGACGCGCCCCACGTTGTTGACGATATGCTCTTCGTCGATGCCACCCTCTACGCCCTGGTAAATGGCCTCCGTCTTGCCACAGTCGAGCTGTCTGATAGTTTGCTGGGACTGTCGTTTCTAGGAGAGGAGGTGGATGACGACAGCAAGCCGGCGGGAGGACAGTTCACGCTCGGAGAGTGCGGGGGTGCTGTGTTGCTCATCAGTCAGGATCACACGGAGATGATGTTGTACCATGTTTATCGGTGGGCGTTTGAGGTGGGGAAGTGGGTTTCAATCACGAGCTTAGGCGAGCGAACACTGTTTCTTGGTTTCTTCGGATTTGCAGCCTGTATTGGTTCATATTACCCAGGAATCCGAGGGGATTGCTTATATGCAGCTGGGCCGCGCTTGGGTGAATGGCATGAGCACTCCTTGGCTGATGGAACTTGCGATGTTCACTATGCTGATTATCCAGGTGCACCACCCCTGAACAACAATTCACCTATCAGACCTCAGGTCTAGGTCTTCCCCAGCCTGTGTTGATGCTGGTTGTGAATTCTTTCCAATCATGTAGAACATCTGAGTCTGACTTGAAATAAGTCATGGTATGCTTGATTTCTGTGGCTGCTATTTCTTAATTCTCAATTTCGTTTCTGTAAACAATATGTTGTTCAGCAATGAGTATTGAAACACAGTATATTACCAGTTATTTGTTATGTTGAGGTATAGAATACACTTGTTAAGTGTTACTATAAGAATAGATAGTGCCCATCCTGCTCATAAGGGATTATGGTGGTCTGTCTATACGCTATGCTCCTTTCTAGACCTTGGTTGATCTAATTTTGCTTCTTTCTTGGTATATGAATATTACCAATGTACCATGACATCGCAACAATAATGAGGACATCTCTGTGTATGGAATTACAAATTTAGTTTATCATGGCTTGATCTTATAGTACTGGTGAGTTTGTCTTCAACCAAGCTATTCATAAAGTTTCTCATTGGTATCGATGTATCATGGTATGTGAAACCAACTTCAAACTACTATGGTCTTATTGTCTTAACATGTTGGATCTCTTTTCATAAGTTCAGTACTTCAGTCACATGGTTAATTCATCTTATTATAGCACCTGCTTTTGTTAGAAGTAGGTAGTTCAGGAGGTGTTGAGAGAAATGATTATTAGTTAGTTCAGGAGGTTACTTCGAATAGTTAGTTCAGGAGATATATTTTTCCCTCTCTCGAACAAAATTAGTTCAGGGGAAGTTGTCTGGATATCCATATAACAAAAAACCTTGCAGGTTACCACCACTCTTCCACCGTAACAATTACAACGAGGTGTGTTTGAGAAAAAAAAATACTTACAATGACATGATAGTAGAACCAAACATGAGGAATATCAGAAGATTTAACTCAACACCTGATATTCTTGAGGATGTTTACATTACATAAGCCTATTTGCTGAATGATCTATGTGGATACACTTACCTCTTTTCTCACTTAGGCTCAACACCCTTGATTGCTATGTAGTCCTGGCTAAACAATGTGACTGACTGACTGCTATGCTCAACTCAGCAAAGGACACAGTTTATTGATCAAAGAGCATGCACCCTTGAAGAAATATGAAAATACTAGTTACACGTTTTAAATAACCTGGAAGGCCAGACCACCTGAGTAAATGGTTACACCAATTGTCTGATGGTTTGTGGTTAAAAGTCTCTGCCATGTTTTCCACACAAGAGTTCTGTACCCTCCATTTCTGGAGATTTTGAGAATCTGGAATTTTCTTGTAGTTGATAATGAAAGAAAGCAGTATCATCTTACATGAGATTGGTTAGGATTACTTGCTCATTCTCATATTAGATGGCTCGCTGTTGATTTCTTGTCATGAACATTGAACAATACTTCAGTAGGAGATCCTGCAAGTTACTGCAGTCATTCAGATGTACTCTCCCCGTCTCAAAATAAGTGCACATCTCGCTTCTTGAGTAGTCAAACATGTAATAAGTATCATTAGATTGATGATGAAATATACTTTCATAATAAGTTCATTTGGAGATGCAAATATTGATATTACTTTCTATATAATTGATCAAACTTAAAAATGTTTGACTCATCGAGAAGCGAGATGTGCACTTATCTTGGGACGGAGAGTGGAAATTTTGTGCTTATTACAATGTCTGACCTGCGCACATGTGCATGGTATTTTCTGGTCTCTGGTTTGTGTTGCCCTTATAGCAGTACTGAGAATTCAGAAACTGGAATTCAATGCACTTACGCTCTGTTCCCCTGTCATGTAACATTGGTTTTGTGAACTTTTCAGTTACTTGTCATCCTTGATCAATTTATGCATTTTTGAGTCTCCTCAAGTCCTGATACTAATGCAAATTAGGCAAACTTCGGATGCAAATCTGCTTAACTTGCTATAGCAATATACACACCATCGATTTCCAGGCGTTTTGTTCTTAACCTGGTGGATGAGTTGGTTCAGAAACTTCAGAGGAGCAACTGATTCTTTGATTGCTCTTTTGTTTACTGTAACGGTTCTTGTATACAACTGAACTCTGAACTTCTATGTTTTTTTGCATAAACAAGATTGCAGAGTCTGAAGGTAGATGTGTCTGATCAGTGATCAGTTCGTACTTGCAGTAACGGATGCCATGCAATTGTCTCGAGCACTTCTATTGCTTGCTGCCTTCCTGGCGCATCCGTGGCCAGTTGGTCCGACGGGGTTCGTATTGGCCTGGAGATCGGGGTGGGGTCAACCTGCAGCGAGTCAGACTCGACTAGCAGCAAGTTGCGAACAGTGAACTCCTCACCGTCCTCTTCCAATCCAAACCACCCAGAGCAAGCGGCCGCCGCTAAGCACACACGAACGCAGGTCGGGCGGGAATGCAACGCGCCGCGCTCCTCCGCCCGCTCGTCGGGTCCCCTCTCGTATCCGCGGGTCCCCTTGCTCAGGTTGCTGTGCGCCGCCGCTGCCGCTTCCATGGGGGTGTTCGCGTGAGGTCCTCAACCGGGGAGGGTGGAAGCGAGCCCGGAGGCGGCGAGGGCGCCGGTGCCGCGGCGTCTTGGCTGAGCTCGGCGGTGGGGGAGAAAGTGGACGAGCTTCTGCGCCGCGAAGAGAACCGGGCCCTGCTCGAGGGCGTCGAGGACGCCGAGCGCCGCGTTGAGCGCGCGCGCGCCGCGCTCGCCGACATCGAGCGCCAGGAGGCCGCCGCGCGCCTCGCCCGCGAGGAGGTTCGCCGCCTCGAGAAGCGGCGCGATGAGGTATGCTGACGTGCTGCTATCCACCGCGACGCGCTTGGTGGCTCCAGCTTGTTCGATGTTTTGCCTGCTCAGTGAACGATGCCCATGCCGTGATGGTTTCCCATGAATCCATGATCGGTGGGTCGCTCACAGTAGAGCGACCTGTCCTGTCCTGTCCTGCATGCACTAGCGTTCAGCCTCCCACACTGCTGCACACATAACAGACCCCACACGGCCAACACGAAGCACGAACGGGTGCCATGTTGTTCCTGGGAGATGCAATCTTAATAAGCTGTGTGGCCCTTAGATGTTTTGCGAATGCGGCTGTTGTAGCTTTGGCTATATACAACTGTCAGAGATGATGTCAACTGTATATGATAATGAAGTTCTGCAATCATCCAAATTTCTTCCTGACATGCTGGGAAGACATGAATATTTGTTGCGTGATGCTTTGTTTAGTCTCTTTCTTTTTAATAAATTCTTACAAGGCTGCATTGCATAAACAAGATTGCAGAGTCCCAGCGGGAATTGCTTCAAGCAAGAGAAATGATCGATGAAGCTCAGCGTTCCTTGTCTTCTAGTCTTGAGGAAGAAAGCTTTGGAGATATGTCAAGTGGTGATGTTGATGAAGATAGCGAGAGAATAGAATCTGTTAAAGCTGCTGCAGTTTCCTCTATAGTTGGTGTTCTGGCTAGTTTGCCCATATCTTTCTATGAAGTTGAAGATCTGCCACAACTATTCCTTCGGTCATCAATTGTTTTCATAAGTTGTGCTTTGTTTGGAGTCACATTCCGGTACGCTGTTAGAAGAGATCTGGATAATATCCAACTAAAAACTGGGGCTCCTGCTGCATTTGCTTTTGTTAGAGGTAAAACCAGGCAACATGGTTTGTTAAAGCTCATATTCCTGAGAATGTACTTCTACTTACTGGAACTCAACTATCTGCAGGCCTTGCTCTGCTGGAATCTGGAAGAACCCTTGAGCTGAGTACTGATACCTTAATATCAGTTACTCTTGATGCTGCAGTCAGTGTGGTTGAGAACATTTTCATATTTCTGCCTGCTGCTGTTGCATTGGACTTTTGTTTTAAGATAAGATTTTTGAGTCCCTTTCCTAGAAGAAAATAATAGCTTCCGTGAGGAATATGTACGATCAGTAACAATCTTGATTGCTCAGATGGTCGTATGTAACACAAATGATACCTTAGATTCATTAAGGAAAAATTTCCCCCATGCACTCAAAGTTCCATCAAGTCTACCAAATAATATTTTTACTTAATCTTCTTCCTAAGATCTTATTCAACAAAGATTACTCATAACTTTGCTGTGAACGTGAATTTCACTTTCTTCTTGATTGTCCTGCTCTTTATGAGGACTAGCATAGATGGACGTATGCTGGAATGCCTCTTCACAATACCTGCTCCACATGGGGTTTGATAAATTTTAGATGGAATTCAGTACATCCTGATTTGTCGTTCATTCAATCCTCATCCTGGTGTAAACAGAATTCGCTACACCCTGTGATCATCTACTGTCTCAGTGAGTCAGCAATCTGATATGGTCACATAGAAGCATCGCATGATATCTATATTCAGTATATGTTTTGTCTGTCATCTACATTAATTAATGCTTGCTGTGCTGTTCTTGTCTGTTAGTGCTTTTCCAGTCAATTCACAAATCGTAATTGCTTTGACGCAACTAGCTGCTGAACTGTGTTGTAACCTGATACAGTATTTTTCTGGTCTTCCATAAAGTGCCAAGGCGGATGGATCTGGGTGAGTGGGTGACATTTCATTGTGCTTGCTCTTTCTGTACTGTGACAGGCTTTCTTTTAACAAATTCCAGGTATGAAAGTCTGGCCTTGATGAAAATATGTTGGCTCTGTGGATATTCAATTTCAATATACATTTAGTGGACTGCTGTAGCATGTTCTTAAGGCCCTCTTTGGATCACAGGATAGGAAACATATAGGGATAGGAAAAACATAGGAAATGATGTGCTAGGTTTCTCCAATCCCATAGGGTTCAAAAACACAGGAAAGTAAAACAGCTGCTCTTTGGCAGCACCACAGGAGAACAAAGGATTCGTCCTGGACACGTTTGAGAAGCTCTTGCTAGCCATTGCATTCAAATCAGACACTAGCCATTACATGGAGTTACAAATACATGCAGCCGTTACATGGAGTTATAAATACATCCAGCAGCACACAAACTTCATACGTCTCATTTGCATCCTGAAGAGACCAAGTAACTCATCTCCACATCTGCTCAGTCACA